TGTGAAAAATTGCAACAATTGTTGTAAAAGATTGCAACATTGCTGATACCTTTTGTCCAGCATGGCGTGCCATAATTTTGATCTCACGCAGAACAGTAACAATTACAATCTAAATCAATGAAAAAAATTAATTAATTTTTAATCTTAAAAAATGGCAACCATTGAAGAAATCAAAGAACAATTAAACATTGCACTTGAAAGTACAGAAAGGTAGGAAAGAAGCTGGAAGAGTGGGAAGAAGGAAAGTGTAAAGGGGAGAAGTTGGACAAATTGGAAGAAGAATTAATGAAGGGGATTTGAATGAAAAAAAACAGAGAAGATAAGATAGCCAAGTTAAAGGAAGAAAAAAAGAGGTTGAAGATGGTGAAGCTAAGATGGAGGAACAGGTGTTGGAGTTGCAAAAAGAAAAAGGCAAATGAACAAATTGCATAAAAAAATATACAAAAAAATTATTTTCCATTCATTCTGTTTCATTTATTTATTTGATATAGTAAATAATACAAACATTTTCACCGTATTTTGTCATTATCAAGTATTGAATCATTTACATAATGATAAAGTCCTTTACAACATTTTTATGCTTCATTCTTTTATCAATTATTGACAATTCACCAATTAACAAGGTTCATTTTATTAGATAGGCCTTCTAAGAAATTAAAACTTGATACCCAAGGAGATATACATTATATAAATATATGGGAACTGTGAAAATCTACATGGAGAAGGACACCCCAGGGGCTGGGGAATTTATTGATACCAGGATGTAGGAAAACACTTGCAATGGTTGAAAAACCCAAACTCTTTATATGTAAGGCTTACACTGATCATTAAGGATGCAAATACTTGGAGTGCTCCATGTATCTTTCTTACTGGCACAGCAGGTATGGGAAAGTCATGTCTTCTCATTTACTTGCTAATATGCCTTTTGAAAGAAAAAAATGCTACAATTGTTTTCCAAACAGAACAAAAAGCATATTATTGCTATGATCAGAATGAAATTCAATCTAATGAAAGTATATATGAATTTTAAGCACAACTTAACTCTATAGATACATGGTATCTTGTGAATAGTTCAGATCCTCAACTTTGCGCAGCAACCACCTTACTATTAATCTCTTTGAAAGTTATGAAAAGAAAGTTGTAACCACTTATTACATGACAACATGGGATTGTGATGAATTATTAACATGTGGAAAAGAAACTTGTGCAACTGTTCCAATTAATACAATAAAAGTTCTTTTTGAAAAAATAGGTGGTATGTTTTGCAAAAAGTTGCAAACTCTATTGTAGATCTAATGATTAATCTTATGAAAAGGCCTTGATTGTTGTTGCTATGGAGAGTGTTGATTCTGCCATAATGTAATCAAAGATATAGGATTCTTATGGAATGCTACTATTAGAAAACTGAATATTTGAAATTGAGTATCTTTCACCATATTTCTTTTGACTATGGTTGCTTGCCAAAACTCCTCTGGAAATCAATCAGCAGAGTTTCAGCAGGTAACACACTAATTGTTTGTTAGAGCTTTGGCAGAGTATCACATTTAGGGATTTCAACAATTAGCAGAGTTTCAGCAGGTCACACACTAATTGTTTATTAGAGTTTTGGCAGAGTTTTGGCAGTCATTAAGAGGTTTCAGCAAGCAACCTTACTCTTGACAATTATGAAAAAGGTAGGCTTGATTGGGTCTCTTACTATATACAAATGGAAGAAATGAAAAAAATGTATATTACAATATTTTTGAAATACAGTAAATAAATATTTTGTCACAAAAACAAATTTATATTTTTAGATATACAGTAACCCAAAAATTATACAACAAAATTATTGAATGTGTATATTTGACATTTAAATTTCAAAATGAAAAAAATATCCCAAATGTGAGAAACTATTATATTTAATATCACACCAAATAAATAAAATAATAAATATGACAAAGATTTAACTTATTCTGGTAGAGTTAAATCAATCTGTTGAGAATCTACAAAAGTAGTTAATTCAATTTGTTTACAATCTACAAAAATTTTTATCACAAGTGGATATTAATAAATATTAAAAATTTTAAGAATGAGAATAATCAATGATTAAATGTTAATAATTACCATTATTGCCACCAATAATTGTTATTTTATTGGAGTTCACAGGTTGG